TGACAACAGTTCTAAACTGTTTGTCAAACCATTTGACAACACTCCCAATGCCATTAAAGAAGGATTATGTAGTGGGTTGCCATGTCGCCCATAAAGCCTAATCTAGTACAAAAGGATATTTCAAAAAATTAAGTTCTTAGAAAAGAATACATGATATATAAAGAGGAAGGGATTCAAGAGGTAGGGGTTCAAGAAATACGAGTTCACGAGATACGATTATAGGAGTAAGTATAATAATTGTGATTCACGTTGTGTTTGAATGAATCAAATATTGAAGCTAAAAGTATGTTTATTTTGCAGATTTCACAGGTTAATTTTGAGACGAGTATACCAATTACTACTGGGGAAGGTATTTTCAATATGTATAATCACACTTTGCATATTTGCATATAACTTACATATTTGCACTAACTTGCATATGTTTACATAGGGCAAGTTGATATAGGTGATGTACACTACCTGATAAAGTTCGATCAGTTCCATAATTTACGGTTGATGGTTAACTTTGATAAGGATGATTCAAGCAGTCGAAGATTGAAGATTTTCAACCATTTTTTTTGTAACAATGTCTTGTTATCGACTTCATTCTAATCTTGATGATTTGAACGTTATGAACAAACTTTTATTTTGGTTTGATTTGCTAAATTTGATTTAAACTTTAAAATTGATACAGATTGGTTGGATATAAAAATCTTGAATTTGATATTTATTTTTATTGCATCAATTAATTTTTCTATTAAATTAAATTTTTTATTGCATTAGTAAAAAGCAATTTTTATTTGGCAATTTGGATTTTTTTTTTTGAAAAAATCTTTAATTTGATATCTGAATTTTTATTGAAAAAACGAGATTTGAAATGAAAAATAGATTTTATTACAATAATTTTTGAAAATAAAAAACGAAGTTTAGTTATTTTTCTATAACTATTTTGCAATTTTAAATATGACGTGGAATATTAGTTTTAAAATAAAAAAATTAATATGACGTGGAATATTAGTTTTAAAATAAAAAAATTAATATGACGTGGAATAGTAGTTTTAAAATAAAAAAATAATATGATGTGGAATATTAGTTTAAAAAAAATTAATATGACGTGTAATATTGGTTTTAAAATAAAAAATTAATATGACGTGGAATATTAATTTTAAAATAAAAAATTAATATGACGTGGAATATCTTAGTTGGCAAAATATACGGATAATGTCAGCATTAACAGGTCAACCAAACCTTTAAATAAACAAAAAATTTGATAGAGACCCCTAAATGACAATTTTAAAAGTTGATTCCCTAAAAAAAAATCAAGTGAAAGTTGGTTCCATTTTGGTGCAATTTTCCCAATCATTAATTATAATTTTTGTAGTTTAGTTTTAGAAAAACGGCAACCGTATCCGTGACATCGCATACATAATACAGCGAGCGGGTGATGCATCTAACGGCCAGAATAGAATACTATCATCATCAACATCATCTTCTTCTTCGCCTAATACTGAATTTTAGCAATTTCGATCCCATCTCACTGTACCAAATTCGTCGATACCATTAATGGCGTCAATATCACCACCGACGTTTCCTTCCTCCGCCGGCACCCCTGCTACAAACCCTCACAAATTCACCTCCTCAACCCCTAAGTTTATCACGAGGGCCCGATTGAACCACCGTTCATCCTATCCAACGCATCTATTTCCTCATTCTCCGTCTAGGGTTTCCGCTTTTTCATCCATCTGTCGGTGCCACAGTAACCACAAAGATATCGGCGACAACAATGATAAAGACAAAAAAGGGTCTCGTCGATGGGACTCTGCTTTTCAAGAGAATATTAGGAATACGATTAAGTGGTTTGATGATTACATGACTGGATATTGGAAGTATCAGAAGAAAGATGATGAAGTGAAGAAGGATGATTCCGGTGATGGTGTTGTGAAGATAGAAGGTGAGGTAGTGGTGGATGGAGATGGCGATAAAGAATGGGATTGGGAACGCTGGAAGAAGCATTTCACTGAAGTTGATGAACAGGAACGTGTTGTTTCTATATTGAAGGTACTTCTGTATACCATGTATAGACTGATACAAGTGCATGCTACGTAGTATAAATGATTCAATGATCACCTGAAAATTAGTTTGTGATGGTCTCATGATGTAGTGGAGTTTAGGTTACAATATGCCTATGTTATCACTGTGATTAAGATGGAAAAGATCCAATGGAGGAATTGTTGAATGGCATAAGGTGGTTTCATGCATGAAGTTACCAAACATATATAAAAGATTGGATGTTACCTGATGAATGTAACAACTCTGCCTGCAGGCAATTACTTTGATATAGTCCAGTTATCTCCTGGATGCTACAGAATGTTAAGTTACCAGCCTAATGAAAATTGTTCTAGTTCTAGTAATCATATTGCTCACACTGGCTCTGGTGCGAATTCAACTAGATAATTCTAACAAAATTACTGTTGATACAATAGACTTTATACACACTGACATGCATATCATCACAGTCGCATCTAAACCGAGCTGTTGTCAAAGAGGACTATGAAGATGCTGCTAGGATTAAGGTGGCTATTGCAGCAGCTGCTACTAATGACACAGTTGGCAAAGTGATGTCTCACCTGAGTGTAAGAGAAAGTTGTACATCATTACAAGTAAGGACCATCACATCTGCAACCATGACTTATATCTGTTGACCCTGTTAATTTTGCAGAAAGCCATAGAGGAAGAACGCTACATGGATGCAACCTTTGTACGGGATTATGCTAATGCAGGTTTGGTGAGTTTTTCGAACTGTTCTTCGGATATGGTGCATATGTATATCAGACAGTTGCTGAACAAACATGTTAGTGTTTGGCTGCCTGCTGGTTCAATGGGTTTGGAATTGTATAAACACAAATTACTTCAAAATGTATAAACAGAAATTAGGCAATAAAAAAACTTATGTAAAAAAAAACCTTTAGATGTCTTTGTGCAAGTCATTCTATGATGTAAAAGTGAATTTGGGTTCCCCATACAAGTCAACTTGGTTTTGATCAATAAGATAAGGTTTAACGATGCATATGCCTATAGTGTGTTCTGAAGTTGAGTGTGTGCGTTTTTCTTTTTAGCTATAGCTTACTGCAACCATGTCGTATGGCTTGACATATAAAAAACATTTAAAGCCAATCCTCTTATAACTCTAGGTTGTGATATTATTTACACATCATTTTCCCCATTGAAGAGTCGTACACATGTAGGTATATTGATGTACCTTAAAATTATCTTGCAATTGATGACTAAATTTTTTGGTGGTAGCCGGTAGAAGTTGGAAAAAAATCGATACCGTAAAAGTTCAAGCAACTCTTTAAGCAGAAATTTGATGACTGTCAAGCCTTGAAGATCTTGAAACTTTGTGGAACTATGAAACACCAGCAATTTATGGACCTTATCCTCTTTCGTTGGTCAACTTATGTGTCATTTGGTGTTTTCTCCCTATGTTGTTTCAACGGTCAAAATACAAAATCGTGGTCAGTACTATGATTTGAAATAGCAGTTATCGCGATGGTAAAGCAGTGGTATAGCGGTCCATAAATAGCGGTTCATATAATTATTAGAATTATATATATGTATGTATGTATGCATATATAACATATTATATGTATTCATTAAAAATATAGTTTCAAGATCAAAACATTAACTTAAACAAGTAAGTTTCACACGAACAAAATAGGAATAAGTAAGTTTGTAACTCGAATTGTGTCGATTGCAGAGCAGAGGACGAGAGGAACACCGATTGGCGAGGTTTATGATCTGGAACACGTCGTTTGGTCATGTAGATCGACGATTCATTAACCTAATGTGGCGTAAACTAAATTACTAAATAACTACAGCCTTCAAAATAAGCCCAAAAACCTAGAAAACCCAACGTTGAATAAGCCCAAGTTTAACTAAGCCCGAAAACCTAAAAATCCTCAGATGCAAATCGCGGTATTTTCACTGCTATACCACCAGAGATTGCGTTAGCGCCGATTTTTGCGGCACCGCGATTTGAGGCCGCAATTTGACCACTGCGATTCCTCTTATCACCGCGAACCACAATACCACCGCTATCTTTCATGACTGACACCTAGGATTTTTCTTAGCATTGTAGTTTGAGTTTGAGTGTTTAATTAATATTTCACGTAGTTGTATGCCTAAGCATTCACCAATAAAACTTTGCATGCGCGTTATTTAGTACTATAACTTGAACGCATTGGAAGAAGTCGCGCTATAACTTTACATCTTATTAGTTGATCCAGTTGTCTTCAGGATGCTCATTTGCATGATGAGATTCTGATGCCTTACAACGAGGGCCAAGGGGTGAGTTCAATTGGTTGATCAGAGCTTTGGCTATCAAACTTTAAGATTTAGGGTGGTGTATTGAGGTTTGGTGATGGATAACTGATGGAGCATGCTAGTGGTTTTGATGCAAGTGGATATATGGAGCCTTGGATCCAACACTTGGTCTAACGTGAAGCTATTTTGATATAACCTGCAAAGCAGTTAAGTGATTGCCTGAAGCTATTTTGATATAACCTGCAAAGCAGTTAAGTGATTGCCTGTGTACAAAGCAGAACCCCCCAACATGTACGTTAACAAATTTTCTTTGAAAACAAAGATTGTTGGGAAGTATTATAGGCATACTCGACCCATTTAAAAGAAATAGGGGTTCTTCTAAACCAAAATCTTAACCATGTTTTGGATTCATCTTCAAACGTGAACTAACAAAAAGTAGGATGCAAATTTCAGTTGGCATATCCTGGCTAGCTTCTCTTAGTAGCAATTGGTTTTTCTTTCTTTAGTGCAAGAAGATTCCACACCTGAAGCAAGTGGATTTGTCTTGCTCACTGTTCTGAACTATTATCTTTTGAGTAGGTGCCTTTTTTCTACCATATACCAGATAGAGGTTCAGCATCTGACTGGTGAAACCTTGTATCTTATGGATATGCGCTTCTTTAATGCATTTATTTTTAACTTGAAGACATGTTTGTGTGTTCTTTATTTCTTCATGTGTTACTTGTGTGGTCCATTTATTTTTCTAAAAATCTGCTTGACATGGTCTTGGTATTTTGGACCTTTAGAATCACATATCTGGTTTTGCTTATTTTTAATCATGTCATCAACTGTCAATTTAGGTGGGCTGGTGGGCGGGACTTTCAGATGATAGCAAAGACCCATATGGTCGAATTATCCATATAAGTGCAGAGCATGGAAGGTACCTGGCAAGAAGTTACAGTCCCAGGTAGAGTAGCTAATATCATTCATATTCTTTTCAACAGGTCTTTCATCATTATATGTGCATTTGGTTCTATTTAATTGGCTTTCATCATGTAGCATCCTTTTGACCTTTAAGGTTGCTCTTTAGTGACTGGAAAGCTACATATTCGAGTGCTGATGGAAACAACCTCTTTATTGAATGTAAGGAAAATGCTTCATGGAAAGTCTTCCCTCGCCGACTCCCGCAAACTATAAATCCTTGTGCACTACTGTTTGCATAAGCAAAGGGGCATTGCGCATAAGATAACTAGTTAAGGCAGCCATGGACTTGCTGCTTTTTATGGTTTGACTCATATGTGTTGCAAGTTGATTTATTTGAGAATGTTTCTTATTTTTTTGTGTGTTTTTTTTCCTTCTAGTTTTCATTTCCCAAACAGAGAGGTATAGTGAATTTTTTTATTAGATATTAATCCCTTATCTTTTATCTCTCCTCTTCTAGTGGCCTCCTTGACCTTTTAGGGTGCCATTTGGTATCCAGGCAGGACACACAGGATAGAACAGTTGTTTAGCGTTTGGTAAGTCAAGACAGAACTGAACAGGACGTAACAAATAAAATGACCAATTTACCCCTAATGAGTTGTTTATATCTAAAAGCTTTAGAGAAGTAGGAGGAATATTATTTTCTACTATATGTTGATTACAGCATAAGGAACTATATATACAAGTTTAGGTTAGGAGATAGACTACAACTACAACTACAACTCCTAACAATATGGGATAAGCACTTCTACAAACACTTCCTTATCAGATTCTATCTATAACTCTCCATTAACTCATACCCGATTACTATTCTACAATATCTTTTGTATATTTTTGATTAATTTATGTAATTTATTAGTTATAATAAATTAAATATTTTTATAGCAAAATATATCACTAGAAAGTTTTCTTTCAAGACGATTAAAATGACACCAAAATAAAAAGTTTATGTAGTTTTCAATTTTTATTTTATACCTTTTCTATATTACTTTTTTATTATTAATATTCAATAAATTAGATAAATTAAAAATTCCAAAATCAAAAGAGCGATTGGGTTGAAAAAAAAGTAAAGGAATTAACCAAAATATATAAACTGTATGATAAATAATATTTTGAGGACAGTAAATTGAATGTTTAAAGAGCATAAAATGCTATAAATAAAATTTAACAATGAATAAAATGTAAAGAGGGAGGCGTATTTGATGTTTTAGAAGAAAATTAGGTTCTAATTTGAGGTTATAGTGGTAAAATATAGGTCTGTTACACCTTGTTCCATGGGGGTCGGGGTGGAATACGCCTGTTCCACTCTGTGCCTGTCTCTTCCACATAAAAGTTTTGCAAAACGTGGAACAATTATCCTTGTTTTGTACTGTTCAGTGTACCAAACGCACCCTTAACTGACTAGTTTAATTTTCTTTTATTGTTTATATATACTTTCATTTTATTGTATGGATGCATTCTGTGGTTTGTTTGCTTTTATCTCATTAGCTATTACATGCATACCATACATCCTCGTGAGTGCAGCAAGCTCATAAGTCAACAATTAATATTGAATATATCACTTAGGAGTTTCTGTTCAGCTAATTAATTAGTTATCTCTGGTAGCATGACATATCGAAGGCTTGGCCATTGCTTTTGGTTTTCAGGCAGCTTGCCATGTCTGCAGATGGTGCCCCTTTGTTTGAAATCTTTCTTACAGTGGACGAGAACGGAGAATACAAGCATCAGGTCTCTTTCATTGCCTCCCTAAATCTGTCTAGTTTTATGCATGAGTAGTTTCCGGCTAAATTGGCAAACTTTTCGGTAACAGTTGCAATTATAAATGCATACAGTCACATGTTGCATCTGTAAGAGTGAAGTTAACAAATGAAATTCACTTTCGTCTAAGGCAATAATTAGACGGGGATACAGTGGCAGAAGATTCAAAAAGTTTGGAAAGTTGATGATCTCATTCCGTTTCCTGTATGAAGACTCAAAAAGTTTGGAATAATAATTTATTCCAGTTACTCTCTCTTCATTCGTAGTAAATGATTGGTTTTAGGCAGGATAGCTGAAAAGGTTTGAGAGTAGTAGTTTATTTTAGTTGCTATCTCTGTCTAAACCACTCCACCATCTGTAAACCTGTGTCATGATGCCATCTTTCTCAAACCACACTGTTTTAGAAAGTTTTAGTTACTAAGTACATCCAGCAGCAAGTATTTAACTCTGCTGACTTCTATGTGTATGTTTGCAAGTCTGCATGTGCAAAACAACATGCTATGCACATTTATACAGGTGGCATTTCGTAGGAATAAAATGGATACATGAATATCTTACAAAATCCGTTTTCTTGTTTTTTTATATCTATATAAGAAGACTAGTATATTAAGTGGTTTTAACAACCTATGGCTGCACTTGTAAGCCCTTTTTGCATGGCGACGGTTCACTTACTTCATATGAGATTGAATTTGCATGATCAGGCTGTATACTTGAAACGGACCGAGGTTCCCCGAGATTTTCCAGTTGTTTCCTCCAAGTCATCAGGTCTGATTAGTAGCATGAATCCCCCAGATACAGTGAGGGATAAAGGTGATCCGTTTGCTAAGGATATTGAAGATAAAGATGATGGCGAAGACATGGATGATGATTCTGATATGGCTGAGGAATCTGCTTTTGAGAATATCCTGCGAGATATGATTCCTGGTGCAAAAGATCTGAAGGTTAAGGTCTTGAATGTGACGACACCAGGAAAAATAGACAGGGATCTAATATCTAAAGTGGTTAAACAGATAGTGGAGGAAGAAGATGAAAAAGAGAAGGATAGAGATTCGGAACGCATAGATGGAGAAGATGAAGTCAAAGGTGGAACTGATGAAGATCAAGACAATATTGATGTCAATTCTGGTGACTCAATAGTTGACAGTGAAGGGAAAGGTCAAATTGCAGTTAAGATTGTAGTTGGTGGCCTGGTTCAAAGAGTTTCTAATGGCACATCTCGCAAAGATTTACTTCGTGTACCAGCCAAGCTGGAGAAAAAGAGTCGCTCATCATTTTCTTTCTCTGTTGAGAAAGAAAAGCAACAGGTTTCTTCTGGCAATGCACAATCTTTAAAGAACAAAGACGCTAGGATTCATGGTATTCGTAGCACAGACAGTGTTATGGTTGATCTTGCGAAGTCCATTGGAAGAGGGAAGATACCTATAAAGGTTAGATCAGAAATTCTTGATGGCATACCTTATCATATTTTTTGGCAGATGCCCTGTTGATTAACTGGACTATTGCCTGTCAAAGTACTTAAGGTTGTGATGATATCTCCACTTTGCAGGTGCTTAAAGATGTTGGTCAGTTGATCAATGTTACCCTTAGTCAGGCTAGGAATCGTCAGCCTTTATCTGGATCTACAACATTTAACCGAATTGAGCTTCCAGCGACTAAAGATCCATTAAATGGTGATATATTATGTTATTTGTTATCATCATCATTAACATATTATTTTGTAGTCTCCTATTCTCTGCTGCCAATTTTTGTCCAATCCGTTTATTTTGTTCTTGGCATCTTTTTATCTAACACAAATTTTTTGTTTTACAACACCAAGTCTTCAGCAGTTAAATTACCTTACCTTTGGCAGGATTGTATGTCGGTTCACATGGGCTTTACACTTCAGAGGTCATTCATCTAAGGCGTAAATTTGGCCAGTGGGAAGAGGATGGTAACATGAAGGAGCTTTCAAATATGGAGTTTTATGAGTATGTAGAAGCAGTGAAATTAACAGGGGAGCCTTATGTGCCAGCCGGCCAGGTAAACATGCAAACTTTGAATTTTTCTATTCTTTTTTTGGAATTATACCACACAACTCTCGACAACTTCCTTCTGAAGTTATAGTTTGAGGTGGGATTTTAGTGGGTGAAAACTTACAAGATTGGTTTATTGGTTGAGTGGGTTGGTGTAAATTATCATTATTGTGAAAATCACCATGCGTACAAGATATACACGTGGATCACTTGATATAAATGAGAAAATTGTGACAGTTGCTAATTTATGCATCTGCTTTGCATCAACATGTGTCTAGCAACACTCAATATCAATGTAAAAGATTGGTTTAAGCTTGGCCTACAAAGGTCAAAAGTGCCTGGAAGGTTCAAATCCAAGGAGGAATAAAAATTCCCTTGTGGCCACGGAGGTTCAAATGCGGTGACTCCGGGCTACCCGCAAAGCAGGTGGTCGTCCTGGGATTAGTCGGCTCACATAGCTGATTGGATATCCATGTTATTAAAAAAAAAGACTGATAGTTCCAATTGAGATGCATCTGCTTTGCATCAAAGACTTAACCTTGAATATATATATATATATATATATATATATATGTTAGTTGAAACATGCTTAATTGCTTATATTGTAAACATCTTGCATGCATGCATAAATATAAGGACATAATCAACCACAAGTTTTACTTGTGATGGTATTCGAAACAGTGGCTTGATTTTGTGAGGTATGCAAGTATAAATGGATCATTTGTCAAGCATCTTGTCATATAATTTGGCTGCTGTGTGGACAAATTCTGGATTCTGGACCCTAGTTCTTGGAGAGAGTTTGCACTGTTGGGGGTAAAATGGACTCTGCATTACACATTAGAAGCCCTTAATCTTTTGTTAGTGGTGTCTAGATTGAAGGCGGGCAAACAGAAAGATACTCAGATATGTGGTGTATATAGGGAAAGTTGATGGGAAAAATCACAAGTGCACAAGTTCAAAGTGTTATTATGATGTAGTAATTTTCTTTTAGGAGTCCCTGTGTATACTTGTTGTCTGTCGGAACACTTTGGTAAAGCAGATTGGGAAGCATTCCTTGACAGGAGTAAGATGAAAAACTGAGTTGGGGAAGTGGGTTGCCTGTTGCCTTACATTTATTTCTAAACTATTATTAACATGTCTTTTTCACATCATAGCTTCAAAATACAGTGTTCTGATTTTCTTCTTTTTACAGGTAGCATTTCGTGCAAAAATTGGAACAAAGTATCAACTTCCTCATAAAGGGATCATTCCAGAAGAATTTGGAGTGGCAAGTCTTTATCATTCAAATTATGGAGGTGCCTTATGCTGTTCATATATTCATTGATATCTTTTTGACGATTCAGATTGCTCGATATCAAGGACAAGGGAGGCTTGCAGAGCCAGGATTTCGAAATCCTCGTTGGGTGGATGGCGAACTTGTTATTCTAGACGGAAAGGTTTCTGCTGCTCCTTTTTCTCTTTCTTCATTTTGAGATGTAGATTTTTTTTTCTTTTCTTGTAAGCTAGTACTAATTTCTGAACCTTGACTTGTATCATCTTTTTGCAGTACATTAAAGAAGGTCCTGTTGTTGGATTTGTATATTGGGCCCCAGAGTATCACTTTTTGGTGTTCTTTAATCAGTTAAGGCTGAAGAATTGAAGCGCTCTTTGTACAAGAGTTTCAATTGCCTTTTGTTTTTGAATCAGATTTATAGGTAAGCCCTTCATCAATCATAATCCTACTAACTGCATTGACAAAATGCTTGTTTATAGATATGTTCAATTTGCTTTGATATATATAAGAACAAAAGACATTTTCCAGTTGTTAAGTCTGACAGAAACAGATGATGAATTTTTTTTTTGGTTGAAGTTCTATATATACAATCTGTCTAACACCACCGTTAAAGTGTTATACAACTAATAAATTTGGAAAATATTTAGGAACTAAAGAATAACTTGGGAAAAGAAAAAGGTGGCCTTTATTGATCAATATTGCCCCTGCATGTCGATACTTAATGCGAAGGAGATAAGCATGAAAGAGAACTATAGAAGTGCTAGGAGGAATCAAGGCAATGGAGCAAATAGTAAGAGGAATCAGGGAAATATTGATCCAATGATAGCATCATTGAATTAGGCGATGTTTGATGCAGTTGCTTAGATTGTGCCATAGGCGGTGGCATATGAAAAAACCTAGTAAGCCAGTGGTGATTGAGCAACAAGGTAATTTGGTGGTGAAATCACAACCTTGCAATCTCTAGTTTATGTGGTGAATAACTAGTGTCGGACACCTATGCATGTTTTTTGTGAAAATATCCCAAAAGGTGAAATCTGAGTCTTTCAATGGCTCCCCTATGCAGATAGATGCTAAGATTGGATTTCTTACATGGAGAAGATATTTGACATTCTGGAGTGAACTTAGAATTTGAAAGTGCATCTGGCTATGTATAAGTGTGGGGGGGATGCTCAACGATGGTGGAAGACTTTCAACACTACCAAAGTGTTGAGAAATCAAAGAAAGCTATGTAGAGAGAATTGCAGGAATCTTATTTACGAATTGAGACTAGACCTATTTATAGGTAACAGTCAAGATACGCCAAATAGAAAAATAAAACTAACTAATTCAATTAAAGCCACATCTAACAAATCTCCACCTTGGCTTTAATTCTAGTACAAAAATTTTACTTCCAGCTATCAATGTTTAGGAGATCTAGACAATTCCTAAACTTATTCAAAGAAACCGTTTTGTCAGTGCATCAGCTGGATTGTCATCAATCTTCACTTTCTTCACTTTAATTCTCCTTTCCGAACGTATAAAGTGATAACGAACATCTATGTGTTTCGTTCTCTCATGATGCACCCGATCTTTTGCAAGACAAAGGACACTCAGGCTGTCACAAAAAACTACAGTCTGATCTTGATGAAAGCCAAGATCTCCAAGCAAACCTTTCAGCCAAATCCCTTCTTTTGCAGCCTCCGTAAGAGCCATATATTGTTGTAGACAAAGCAACAGATGGCTGTAACGGCGCTTTCCAGCTCACTAGGGCATCTCCAACAGTGAATACATATCGCGTTAATGACCTCCGTGTGTCAAGGTCAGTTGCGTAATCAGAATATGAAAATCCAGCCACAATACAATCTGTTTCTCCTCCAAAATTAAGACCTACAGCAGCTTTGCCTTTGAGGTAACGAAAAATACGTTTCACGGCAACCCAATGTTCTTTCCCCGGATTAGCTATGTAACGTGAAACAACACTAACAGCATGAGCTATGTCAGGTCTAGTGCAGACCATGACATACATAATACTTCCTACTACATTAGAATAAGGAACTTTGTTCATATACTCCACCTCAGCCTCGGTTTGAGGTGTCAAAGCCACTGATAATCTGAAATTTGCCGATGAAGGTATGCTCATAGGCTTTGTAGAAGCCATACCAAATCGAGAAAGTATCTTCAAAATGTAACTTTTTTGTGACAAGAGAAGTTTACGTCTAGATCTATCTCGGATAATTTCCATACCGAGAATCTTTCGAGCAGCCCTCAAATTTTTCATGTCAAACTCAGAATTAAGGAGTCTTTTTAACTTCTTAATTTCAGCCATATCACGAGTCGCTACTAACATATCATCCACATAAAGTAGCAGATACACATGTGACCCATCAACACTTTTCTTATGATATATACAACAATCATAAGGGTTTCTAGTAAATTCATGACCCACCATAAAGCTGTCAAAACGTTTATACCACTGTCTTGGAGATTGCTTTAACCCATAAAGCGATTTCTTGAGCTTACAAAACATAGTTTTCTTTACAAAACCCTCCGGTCTTCAAGCTCACCATGTAAGAAAGCCGTTTTGACGTCCATTGTTCCAACTCCAAAATTTGCTTGTGCCACTAGTGCCAACAACACTCGAATGGATGTATGACGCACCACCGGCAAGAAAATTTCATTATAATCAACCTCTTGCTCTTGGCTATAACCTCTAGTCACCAAACGTGCCTTGTATCTCACACTTTCAGCTCCTGGCAGCCCTGTTTTTCGCTTAAAGATCCACTTATAGGTCACAACTTTTCTGCCTTGAGGTAACTTTACTAACTCCCAGGTTCTATTTTTGTGAAGGGATTCCATCTCTTCACTCATGGCTGCTATCCACACATCAACCTCCTTCGTTGTGATTGCTTCTTTGTAAGTAGATGGCTCAAAACTCCATTTCTTCAGCAACTTGCAGAGCATAGGCCGCCATGTCATCAAAACCATATTAAATTGGCCTACCAACTTGTCTTTGGGGCTTATCTAATGCTATAGATCGAAATTCTGCAGATTGGTGCTGATTTTCAGGCACAACAGGTTCTCGTTGAGGCGAGATACTGCGCTGTCCAACAATATTCTCGTCTTCATCGGGACCATTTAACTCGTACTCCACCTGTTTGGACACACTCTCCTCTTGAACACTTGGAGTAGATGAACACCTCATGCCATGTAACATACTCTCCTCATCAAACACTCTGTCACGACTGAGAATCATCTTTCTTCTATCCAGAGACCAAATTCTATAGCCCTTTACTCCAATTCCGTATCCCATAAACAGCCCCTTCTTTGATCTTGGTTCCAATTTTCCTTCACTAACATGGTAGTATGAAGGACAACCAAATATTCTTACGCCCGTGTCAGCCGGCTTACCGGACCATACCTCAATAGGAGTTTTACAATCAATTGCCGTTGCTGGGGATCAATTCACCAAATAGCAAACTGTGTTCAATGCTTCTGCCTAAAACCTTCTATTCAACCCAACATTTGACAGCACACATCTCACTCTTTCCAGCAGTGTTTATTCATCCTTTCAGCTACATGCTGTGGAGTGTGCCTAACCGTTCGATGCCTTGCAATTCCTTCATCTTTACAAAACCGATCAATCTCACTTGAACAAAACTCCAATCCGTTGTCCGTTCGCAGCCGCTTTATCTTCTTCCCAACTTGATTTTCAATGAGAACTTTCCAATCTTTAAACTTCTCAAATGACTCACTCTTATGCTTCATGACGAATACCCAAGTCATTCTAGAGTAGTCGTCAATAATTGAGAGGAAGTAACGACCACCACCAAGTGAAGGAACTTGTGAGGGACCCCAACAATCAGCGTGTAGGTAATCTAAAGTCGACTTGGTTATATGGACAACTTTTGAGAAACTCTCCTTTGTTTTCCAAAGATGCAATGTTCACAAAAGCCCAATTCAGCAACTCTATGACCTCCAAGAAGTCCTTTCTTGCTGAGAATTACCATGCCTTTCTCACTAACATTCCCTAGCCTTATGTGCCACAAACGTGTAAAATCTGCCTCATCCTCTACAGAATTAAGGGCTGGTGCTGCTGATCCAACAACCGTGCTACCTTCCATCACATACAAGGTACCTCTCTTGACTTCTTTTACCACTACTAATGCACCCTTAGTGACCCGAATTATTCCACCCTCACCGGTGTACTTGAAGCCTTTTGAGTCAAATGCTCCCAAAGAGATTAAGTTTTCTTCAACCCGGGTACATGACGAACATCTGTTAGAGTTCTCACAATCCCATCATGCAATTTAATGCTCACCGATCCAATTCCAACGACATTGCACGACATGTCATTTTCCATCAAGACATTTCCGGTTGCAATCTTATCATTAGTGTTAAACCAATCCTTATGTGGTGTCATGTGAAAAGAACATGCGGAATCAAGAATCCATACCTCTTACTGACTTTTGGAATCAACCACTGAGAGTACCAAATCAGCCTCCAAACCCAAATCATCTTTTGCTACAGCAGCAGATCCTTTTGACTTCAGTTTTGTACACTCATTTTTCCAATGACCCGGTTCTTTACAATGGTGGCAGCTATTCCTTGGGTTTCCACTTGGACCTCTAGTCTTCGATCTTGATCGGCCTCTTACTTTCCACTTCCCTTTTCCTTTCTCTCGGCTTTTATCTCTACCTCTATGTCTATCTCTGTTTACCACCGACAAGCCAACCGATTGAATTTCGGAACTACTTTCTGAAGCTTTATGTTGCAACTCTCGTGAGTGTAAACTTGAACGAACTTCTTCCATTGTAATTGTGTCTCTACCAACAACGAACGAGTTGACAAAATTTTCATATGAAGTAGGCAACGAAACCAATAAGATGAGGGCGGCATCCTCATCTTCAATCTTGAGTTCAACATTCTTCAAATCCATAAGAATGGAGTTTAACTCATCAAGATGTTCCTTCAAAGGCATTCCCTCCTTCATTCGTAATGAGAATAATCTTTGCTTGAACAACAACTTGTTCGTTAAAGACTTGGTTATGTAGAGGCTCTCTAGTTTCTGCCATAATGGTGCAACAGTCTTCTCATCGGCAACTTCATAAATCACCTCATCTGCCAAAGACAACAGGATGGTAGAGTTAAATTCAAATTCAGCCATCCCTTCAGGCCTTTCACCAACCAAGGGAATCCAAGCCTTGTTGTTTTAGGAGGGCTCTCATCTTTATTCTCCATAAGCTGAAGTTGTTCTTTCCTGTAAACTTGTCAATCTTAATCATTTGTGGAGGCATTTTCTGAAAATCTTGAAAGAACTATAGTACAAGATTCAATGTTGAGCAATCAAGAACAGAGATCCAGACTAATCTATAAAAGAGTCGGCAATTTCTTAATTGGCTGTTAGAAATCGGTAATCTAGGAAATTGATCCCCAACAAACGAT